GGTAAAAGAGTAGCCCAGAGTTGGCGGTGGGTGATGATGACTAGCTGCCTTCCCTCTAGTCTTACACTGCTAAATTAGGGACGGCTATTGCAGATAGCCTCGTGTAGCTTTGCGCGAAATTCAAAACAAACAAACAAAGTTTCGTTCATAAGAACAATATTGTGAAGTCCTTCGTACAGGACGATTAATCATAGCGATACTATGGGAGATTCATGTTTCGTTCAGGAGAACCATACCATAAAGTCCTGCGTACAGGAAGATTATTCCTTGCGCTACTTTTGGATATTCATGTTTCGTTCATCAGAAAAATATCTTAAGGTTCTGTTTTGAGAATGGTTAATGAGAATCTGATTAACGGATAATCATTGCATGGTGATCAATATACGGATGGCAAGCATTTGTTATTGTACTCTTCGTGCTTATTACAATTGTTTTTGAAGTTTTTATATGTATGTATGCTTATTAACACTGTTGTAATTGTATTTCTACATTTATCAACGTATAAATGAAATTTTACATCCGCCGGAAGTCATTTACTGGGTAAAACTCGACAGCCTTCTATCTGAGATTATTAATAATACATGAACTGCTCTAGTGTTAATTCGGTATCTATTTCCAGCGACAGAACATCGCGTAAGTCTGTTTTAAAAACCACGCTGCTCTGCATTACCAGACAGAACATAACACAAACCATAATATTACCTGAAATATTTTGAATCGTGTTTCAGGTTTTTGCATAGGACCGTTATTGAGGCAAGGTACAAACTTTAACACGTCTTGTAGTTATCCCACTTAAATAGTCACTTGACGAAAGACGGTAAAATCAGAAGCTCGATTGAGGAGATTAGAACCATAGGAAGAAAGGAAGTTTCTTCTGTTTATATTCTGCCCCCTTCTTTATCCTAAATGATCTCGAAGCTTACAAAGTGCACGACTTTTCAAGGCTCCTAACATGCTCATCTACTAACACGAGAAAGTAGGGGTTCCTGGTTAACAGGCACTACAAAACAGTTTATTTAACAACAACAAAGAAAATAAAAACCTTTTCTGCCGGTCATTGAGCACTCGGTGCTTAGGGTGTTATTAGTTAGACGCTCAGGCTGTACGGAAAAGTAAAACCACCAGGTGGAGCGTATTATAATTTGTAAGGCAGCGTTAGAGTTCTAAGCGTAAAGACCAGTATGGCGTGCAAATCAAACTTGCCCTGATCGTTTTTTTTTTAGCTTATCCGTGAGTGGCGTATGCTTAGTATTACTGAATGTTTTATCTGACGTGAACCACCCGAATTACTTGTTATTGAGAGTAATCTGTCATTAAAAATAGAGCGTTTATGTCGCTTTTCATTGGTCACGTATTAAAAAACAAAACAACTTTTAACAACAACCAGCGTACCTTTGTCAATTACAGTACTGAAATATAAGAAAGTAAACGCAAAAACAACTTTAAAAATAACGAATCGTGTTACCGGACACATTTGCTTTCAACTGGATCACACCTGATCTTTACACATAACATTTTTTTCTTCAAATATTTCAAGGATTGTTTGTATATTCATTTGCTGTCAAGCACGAAACTACACAATGAGCTATCTTTGCTTTGCTCACCACTGCAATCGAAATCCGGTTTTTATAGCGTCATAAGCCCAAAGAATCACTGCTGTGTCACGGGGAGAGGGGGGCTATTTTTAGGTCTATTTATCTCTATATATTGCGATTATAAACTTATTATATAATTTAACTACATCGACAAGGGAAAGACAGATATTAGAAACTACTGAGGTTTTAACTTGTTTCATCCATGCAGCTTAACTTAACCTCTTTGGATCATTGAGTTTTCCCGGATTAATCATATTCTTCTATTTATAAGTAATAATAAACACTATTTGGTACTGATAATTATAGCAGAATAACTGTTAGAAATTTGTTAATTTTTCAACAGTACTTAATGCAATATAGGAAATTCCTGCCGGATAAAAATTTGTTTAATATATTTTTATCGCGCCAATACAATTTGAAAGTGAAGTGAATGAGCACGTGACTTTATAAGATGAAGAACGAGCACACGTGATGTGAAGTTTTATTGTTCAAACCTGTATACTACAGACTAGATAATTTTGGAACAACTAGAATAGAATTAAAAAAATAATAAACTGGGAAGATAGTCTCATTTGAGATTTATTAAACCATTCTTTCTCTATAAAGTAAATCCTTAAATTAGGGTAATTGAACGACTCTCTTGAAAATATAAGAAAACTAACATATAGCCCCCTGCAAAAGAAAGAATAAATTTAGTGGGAATTGGGACCATTGTTATATTACAGTGATTGATCACGTCTTAGAAGAAAAGTATTGAGTTAATGGTAGTTCTTTAGCCTCGGGTCCAAGAGTATAAAGTAGAATCACCACCGTTAACTCATTTGCTTCCATTTGTAAATAGGTTGTCTTTTTTTCACTTGAAGTCATAGTCAATTTAATATGAACAGGATGTGTTAAGCAAAAAGGAGTGATTTTAATGTATAGCTTCAGGAAACTGAAGAACTGCCTTCTAAAACTGGTATTTTGTAGCAATTGCTGTCAATAGAAGGACAAAGTGGTTTTTATATATATACTATATTTATACATCAAATACAGCGTGTTTCATTCTCGTGAAGGAGTTGTGTCACGTGAAAATCCTCGACACAACCATTTCTATGTGGTTTTTTTATTACGTTGTCATTATACGTCTTTAATGTAGATATATAGTGTCTCTATTTAAATGAAAAATTATCAGAAGCCCCGGGATTGAATTAGAAACGATTTGTAAAAAGTTCTTAACTCATCTTAATTTAAATCACAAATTCGTTACTTAATACTATCACCCTTTTGGTTTAGTTTTTTTCTCTCTCTACGTCACTGTTAATAATTTTATAGACGCTATCTTCATGAAGTATCTAAGCCTACTT